CGAAGCTTATCTAAAAAATTCCCTACGATTTTCTGAAGTTTAATTTTTCATATTTTACTCCTTATGTTAGGCTAATTTTCTTAAAAAAAGGAAACCTAAAATTTTCGGATTCAAAAATGTGATAGAGAGGAATAAGAAAAATTCTCACTTTCGCAAAACGTTCAACTGCATCTAAATTTTTCGGAAAATTCTTGAACACTGAAGCCCTTGTAATTTCGAAAAGCCTCAAGTTCCCCTAGGATGACCGAACAGATACAATTTTTATGGCGCCGCTTAGAATGCATTTCTAGAGATCTAAAAGAACTCTGGATAGCCTAAAAAGACTTTTCAATGCATTTAGGAGGAAACCGTCGCTGGGTGCCCCTGATAACGGTAGAACTAAACCTCGCTGTAATCGCACTTAAACGGCCAACTAAAGTTTATTTCAACAATAGCTGATAATACAACAAAAGATTATAGAAGAGCTGGAATCCGAGTGGAGTTACAAGAATCAGAATTCGAATAATCGGGGTAAATTTCTTTGAATTTTTTTTATCAAAGGAAAGGAAGCTAAGTTCGAGTTGGGGGAAATTCGAGTTATCCAAGTTCAAATGAATTATCGGCAGCGGCGGTTTCAAATCAACGTTACCTCCAACCTCGCTTTCTCTCCAGGCAAGAATGATTCTCAGTCTAAAATATGGTCTATGAAACAAAATAACCACCCTGCGAGCAGAGGCCCTTCGATCTTTCTAGATAAGTGGGGAAGAGGAAAGTCGAGGTGGCTGGCAGAGGTCCCTTCCTCTTCCCGACTTACCTACAAAATGGCCCATTACCGACTCAGAAAGATGGAGGTTTTTCGTCCATCCATGTATTTTATTCTTCCTTGACCCATTAAGCTTTCCATTGCATTTAAGCTATTACTCGGATGGCAATTAGCAAAATCTGAGCGAAGATAGATCTTTCCACTTGTACTTCATTTAGCAAATTTTGATCAATCCTGACAGAGTTAATTACAGAAAAAAAACGCAGTATTTGGAGAAAAATCCACGGTCAATTTTGCTACTGGCTTACCTACAACTCTTTACAGACTAAGTTTGTTCCTTTCGTGGTTGGAAAGAAAGCCAGCCAAAATTTCATGCGAAAGAAAGACGATAAAGTAGGTAACAAAACTGGCTATAAAAGGAAAGACAAAAGGAAAAAGAAAAGAGCGAGAAAAAAAAATCGAAATAAAATAGCAAAATAGCTGCTTAATTACATCCAATTAGCAGAAAATTATGTCCTAAGTGTTGGAATTTTTTTTTTTTAGCCATTCCTTGACTGGCCGAAAAACGGTTCAAAAAGGAGGATTTGGTCCAAAATGCAGTTTTTTCCCTAAAAACTGGCTGAAGGCAAAGGGTTAAAACTAAACTAGCTAGCAAGAACAAAAACAAGCGTTTCGCGATTACAAAGATAAATACGATTATCATTGCCAACACAGTGCTCCGCACTATGAAGCCACTGGGTAGTGTTGCAAACGTCAAATCACTTTTTTTTTGTACAGTTCGAATAAACTTTGTCATTTCACGTAGGCTTTTCAATTTTTTTCTGCTACATTCTAAATAAGAAACAATTTTAAAAGGGACCTACAAGAGAGTGTTATCTTCACTTGTGACCTGTCAATGGGCGTGAATAAGAATTTTTAAATACCGGTAAAAGAATGAACATCCTTAATGGACTTTCTCATGAAATATTTGACATGGACATGAATCAATCGAAAATGCTTCCACAAAAGTGGAAGCTATTCTCCTTTTATGCCGAGCGCATTCAAAGTATAAGTTATCAAAAAAGTAAAACTAAATGTCATTAATAGGCAAAAAATATCATTTTCACGTCTGTGGGTTTTGCTGGCTACTTCGTAGAGCTTAACGTTCCGGGTTATGGGCTTCTGTCGCTGTTATGTTCCCTGCTAAAATCATTGGACAAAAAAAATAAGATCTCCTTAGTTGCTATAAAAACACCAAATTCAGATTAAGTTTGCCAGCAGGTCAAATTAAATTCCTCTTCTAAATTGAACAGCACTTTACGTCTGCTTATCGACAAATTTAATTTAAATTAAATCCGTCTGAATTAAATTCGACGTAAACTAGAGCTGAGCTTCTAGAGAAATGCATGCAAAAGCAAGAAGACCAAAGTTCGATGTAGCCAGACATTATTTGTACTTAATAAGTTAAAACTATTGCTGTTGAATTGAATAAAATAAATATTAATGCCGGTTTTTACGACAAAAGTTTGCTAGTGAGTTTATATTGTCGCGAATTGGTGACTCTGAAGACCTGTAAAGAGATTCAAAAGGCGACGTTTTTGTACTAAAATAGGCTTCGTCAGAGCTAGTGTCCGCTGGAAATTAAAAACCATCTAGAGTTAACGGAGTGTGCCACCAGTATTTCCATTTCCGCTATGGATTCACTCCCATCGTCAAATATTTCAAACGTAAGAAAGTTCCATTAAGGATAATTATTTATTTATTTATTTAATTGTTCACGCCTATTGTCATGCAGGTTACTTAATTGTTTCTTGTTTGGAACATGGCATGTAAAAAATTTCAACTGAATTTGTTAAGGTCTGCGCAAATCTGTGAAAACAAAGATTATATAGATCTTTTGTTTTTCCCTTCCCTAACTACACATCACTAGAGGTCTTTAGAAGCAATCCTTCATTCCAAATCGGGGTCCTCTTCCATACTTACACCATCACGAGCCTTTTATTGATTTTGTGATCCATGTGCTCTCAAAACATTCGTCCGCGCCTGAGGTATTAAGTGGATTTTATACCCGCAGCATAAGGACTGACTTTTTCCGAAGGTAAACTACTCCGAATAGAAAACGAACTAGTAGTGGGTGCATAAAGGATAAACGATTTTGATTAAGAGGGATGCAAAATTCCCATCATTATTTATATAAATTTTGACAACGTTTAAACGGAGCTTTAGGTAACGCTTCTTCCAACAACAATGCAACGTTTGTCGATTTTCATTGTGTCTCATCAGGAGAGTCAATAGACCTTAAAAGCTATCCTTTTTTGTTAAAAAAAGGGCATAGAATAGTTTTGAAAAAAAAACCAACAAAACCGACAACAACAACAACGAGTAGTAAAATCGAGTCTGTTGATTTCTCTCATGGCTTGAAAACTTCACATTTTTTGCAATGTCCTTTAATTTGAGAAACACTTCAGTGACCTGGAAAGAGGCGTAAACAATTGAATAGATAAACACCTTTCACTGACAAGTTTTAATGGCTTCCACTAACAATTTGACGATGGGCGCGCGCGTGAATCCATAATGAGTCAGTATCTTTTTTACCAAAAAAGAGTGAGTGAACGATGAGTTAGTGAGTGAGTGAGTGATGTGTGAGTGAGTGAGTAAGTGAGTGAGTGAGTGAGTGGGTGAAATCACACACTACATTAACTTTCGCTCACTTTCAAATTCAAAACGTAAGGTCGCAAAGAGTTCTCTAGCCCTTATCCTCAGCCGAGCAGTTCTGTCAAACAAGTACAAGAAATCAAATGGAGATAACAGTTTGTGTATCTTGAAGTAACCAAGGCCCAAGTGGTCCCCTTTTGCATTAGCTTTCAATGAACCCAGTTGAAAAAAGCAAACTTTTGCTACATAAGAAAAAATCAAAATTCTCTAATGAAGGTTTCTTTTGAATTATTTAAAAATGGGCGTGAATAATAAATAGTCCTTAATGGCAAAATTCCCCACACGCACCCATAAAAGTCGATTTTCCACTTTCACTGTTCAAATCATTTTCTACGGTCAGAGCAACAAGTTGAGCAGGTAAGTAATTGTTGTGAGGTATTTGCATGTTGTTTTAGGTTATTTTATGTTTCAAGCTCAAGTTCAAGTTTATTTCGCACTATTCAAGTTGGTACAGTGTAAGATGGCTTACAGAATCAATAGGTTAACAAATGATGAAAAGTAAATGTAATATACAGGTTTGTTAATATGTGCACATTGACCAAAGTTGCCGAAGCTTTCGTATTGGTCACTGTCCCTTTTAAGTAAATAGAGCTAGTCCACGATATAAGTGTGAGGTAATAATAAATTAGGGTATAGAGAATACTTGTGTATATAGAATTTTTTCTAGACTTTTTGATACAGTGCGATAAAATGTTACATTAAAATTTATAATAAAAAAAGGAGAAAAAAGGAGAATAAAATTACCTAATTATTTATTACTATATAATCCTGCGTTTGCACTTGAAGTTTCACACGTGTCTAGAGTTTCGTCATGATTAGATTTGTAGATCACGGTTACTAATCCGTCACTTGTATCGGCAAGTGTTTGAATTCAATCTTGGGTGACCGAGTAAGTTATGCGCATGTGTTGAGTCCTTTGGAAAGAGTCACTTCGGTGTGGGACCCAGATCCCATTAATGTGTCAATATGCAGACCAAAGGCCAATTTTTCTCCTGCCCATGTTGTCTCGAACTTTTTTGTTTTCAGTAACGCACTTTGTCTAGAGCGATATCTCGAAAAAAGAGTGGAGGGAGGCTGCCTTTCTACGTTATGATACTGCAAACAAACTAATTTCATGCAAAATACTCGAGTGAGCAGTTTTAATGAAAGGTCTTCATTTCTTCAGTGCTGCTTCCGAAATGTTCTGTTTTTCAATTCTCTTGATACTATAGCTTCTTTTTCTCAACTTTGATTCCTTCCGTTTTTTTTCTGGTGAAGAATTTGTCGCCAAGAAAATGATCGTCTCCAAAATCGGAATCAAGGAAATTTTATGAGTTGTTATCCCAGTCACAAGACCGGGTTTTTTTTTAAGATCAAATTTTAGATGACCAGGTTTTCCATATCTATAGCAAAGAAACTTGCGTAAAACCTCTCTGGACCGAAACCGTAGAAACCTTTCTTTACTGTGTGCTTAGGCCGCGAAGCTGAACCTCCAGGATAATTTTCTGTGAAATGTTTCATCTTTTATTCATGTACAGTCGACTCCCGATAACTCGAACCTTCAAGGGAAATCGAAGTTCGAGTTATCGGGAGTTCCAAGAAAATAGCCGAGAGTAAGGTAAAAAACAGTTTTTACTGCACAGTGAACATTTTAATCACATTTAGTTGTAGAAATGTCAAGTGAAAATTAAAAGATACCTTTAGATTATAAATCAGAACGTAACGTAACAAAACATAGCCTAAATAGTGCATGCGTTTTACTGTTTTGAGAAGAAAAGCTGCTTCACGTTAGCCTGTGACAATCAACATCAGCCTCCACGAGTAAATTATACTCCTACAACACGTCAATAGGAAATCCAAAATTCAATGTTTCGGACGCCAGCAAGAGAGAATGATCTAAAAATTAAACAACCTGAAACCCTAATTTAGCCTCCAGAAGAGCTTTACGTTTCAAAAGAGGTCAAAGAAAATGCTCTTGGATTAGAGGGCAAATCTTGCCGACCAAAATAAACAATAACCGCAAAAAATTCATATGTGTGTCACGACCTCTCGGTATGAAACAAACCTTTGATCGACACATGTCAATAATGTTCGACTAGCCGAGCCAATCAGGCGTTCCGTTCGCTGGCGAGCGAGATTTTCAAAATCCCGGGGTTTGTCTGCAAGAGTTTCCTTCCTTCCCCTCCCCCCTCTTTCATATTTTGTTCTCGTGCCATTTCTCGCGCGGCCAAAACAAAAAATCCCGTTCCTCGGTCTTTCGTTGCTCCGAAACCAAACAGAAACGCTTGCTACGCAGGCTATCATAATAATATCTCTATGTAATTTGTTTAATGTCCGTAAGTATCTATTTTTTTGTAAAGATTGCAAAAAAAAAACGTCTCTGGAGTAGTAAAATGCCAATGCAATTCTCCACTTCCATTATAATCTACGCTTTTTGTTCTTAAAACATAAGCAAGCGATTATTAACGTTAAAAGCCGACGTTTCGATGTCATCATGACACCATTCTCAAGGCAAGACGTTAATATTCGCTTGCTTATGTTTTAAGAAATCGTTTTTGATCAAGTTTTTTGTTCTATACCCCAAAATGTTGATTTTAGAACCCAAGCAGTCAAATACAAATGAAGCAGGCGAGACAATGTTTTGAGGCGCTCGTGCTGTTTTTGATCTCTCAGACAGCAACGTTGGGGACAAATGATACAGGTAATAGAGAACTTTCTTTCATATTAAACCACACTGTTTCAAGAGCTTTAACGTGTAGAGGTTTTTTTGACATCGAAAGGCGCAGTTGTATAAATATGACACGTTTTTAGTTTATGATAAACTCTCAGCCAATGCAGATAATGCAATAATTTTTAACCCGGCATACCTACATCCTTTTCATATTTCTCTATTCCTTCTTCCTCGTTTTTCATCATCAACTGATCCGAAATATCCGGTTTTGCCTCAGCACGTAATAGAAGAGCGGTGCTTAACTTAGACGCCTTTGGCTATGACATTAACAACTGTCTCTTCACTCATTGGACACCTTTTAAAGTTGTTGAAAAAGGCAATGCCGTATTACAAAAGCAGGTTGTGTGTGGCGGAAAACAACTCTGTTATGGTACTCCTCCTAACCCAAATGATCCGCCAGAGCAACAAAAATTTCACAAAGCACAGTTTGCCGTCTGTTACAACACGGCAACACGTATTCCGACATTTACCGGGCACGTGGTTAAACCGGGTGTCGTAGGGGGAAATCAGGACCAGGAACCGAATGAATTTCACGCTGATACTTATTTTACAGGTAAGTGATTCAACTAATTAAGGTTTTATAATAACTATTTCTCTCGTACTGATTTGATAATATTAATCATCGAAGTTCCACACATAAAAATTTAATTTATGCACGTACTTTTAACTTTCTTGTCAAGGATTGCAATGGACAGCAATTACACAATGTTATGAAGCAATTTATCACCAATAACAGCACAGTCACTTTAAAAAACCTTGCTACTTTTTTGTTTTCTAAGTTCTTCTTCTACCAGGCATTCAATTTATTACGACAGTCGAAGTTCTCCTTGCGACCACTCTAGTAAGCGACCTGCTCTAGTTACGACCACCTTTGTGAAACTCTGTTTAAGCTGTGACTTAAACTTCGTAACGAAAAGCTCTCGTAAACGACCTCTCCCGTAAGCGACCGCGATCACGACCACTGTTGGGATTACCCAACCGGACTTTTCGTTTGTTTTTAAGCTCTAGTAAACGGCCACTCAGAGTCTTATTCATATAAACCAACACTTGAATGAAACTGTACACTACGCTAATGGTTCGTTGATAAAGATCGTGGGGTTATTTTGGTCTAAAAAATTGGACGTAAAGTTTAGCCGTGTCATGATCCTATATCAGCTTAAGACACCCATTAAGGATAAAGTTTCTTTCGTTTTTCTTTATGAATTATAATTAATGACTTTCTTAAGGTCTCGTAAGCGACCACCCTCCATTGTTTTACCATGCGGTCGCTTACGAGAGCTCATTCTCTTAAGCGAACAGTTCAAGTTAATACCACTTTTTCGAATTTCGGAGGAGGTTGCTTACGAGAACTTCGACTGTAGTAGACTTTCAGTAACGGTAGCATCTGGCACCCGCACCAAACAGACCAACGCTGGCTTTGGAGTTTCCTTACATCAATGAGATTTAACTTCAATCCGGGAGCATGCAAGCATCACTTTCCAACAGTTTACCCGATACACACATTTACAAGCACCGGTAGAAGTGAAAACAATTATAACTTTCACTAAACGTTGAGGCTAACAAACTCCACAGGGCACAGTGCATATTTTTGAGGCGAGCCCTAAACAGGGGCACCCAACGACGACTTCCTCCTAAATGCATTGAAAACACTTTTTAGGCTGTCCAGAGTACTTCTACATCTCTAGAAATGCATTCTAACCTGCGCTATAAAATTTGTATCTGTTTGTTCCTAGGGGAACTTCAGTCCTTTCGAAACAAGAACGCTCGTACAGCGGCGTTCACTCTCGCTTGCTTGGAGATTAGATCGAAAAATTTAGGAGGCGATTAATTCTACACGAAACAAGATTTACTCGCTAAAGGCTTTTTACTTCCTACTTTATCGACGTCGAGTATTTTTCAGGACAGTACTCCACAGGTGTCCCAAGCTCACGTTACGAGTGTGCTATGTAAATTAACTTTCTCACAAGAGAGTCGGTGTCGCGTTACAAGCAACCGTTTAGACTTTGTATGAAAAAAATGCTGAGGTCTGCGAACGCTAAATATCATTATTCTTACTTATTTTTCTATAAAATAAATAAAGGAGACTTACATTTGATGTATTCCTGAGTTTTTTGGCGTGAATTCATCGATTTAGTCGGTTTACGGGGCTGTTATTGATTTTGACCCTTATTTAGAACGGGGTATCCATTTGACTCTCTTCATAATAAGCTCCAGTTTTGTATTTATGAAGATTGCTTTTAAAAATACGGTTCAATGCGTGCAAACAGGTTTCGTAGAACGGGTATCAGTTGTACTATTTCTTTTTTATTTGTTTCAAAATTGATTTAGAACACCTGTTAGCGAAGACCGGCTCATACCCACCCAAAAAGTATGTCTGCCGTCAGGTTTCGTCCAGTGCTATACACTTTTTATAAATCAAAATTGATTTAGCACACCTGTTAGCGAAGACCGGAAGTATGTCTGCCGTCGCAGGCTATACACGTGTATAAATACACGAAAATACAAGGGCCTTGATTCCAGAGAAGTTACATCATTGCATGAGATCAAAAAAGTGCTTGGGTTACCTGTGATACAATGAACGTTTATAACACCCGACCATGGGGTTTTACTAATTTTAAAGATTTTTATTTTTTTTTTCGACCACTCAGTAGTTAGACTGCTGGCAATCCGCCTTTTCTGTTAAAATCCGTCTAGTTCTTATCTCAGCCAGGGTGATTGCAAACCACGAGGTTGGGTTTCTCGTGCAGTAACTTTGCAATAAAAATAAGAGACTGCTCGCAGTCTACTCAGTAGTGTTCACTTGTCCCAAAGTAATCAACGCTTTCGAGCGATAGAATTCGTGGACCGATACGTTTCGGAAAAGCAACGATTCTTAGTCTGAGTTTCCACGGTCTCGGACAGGAACGCCTAGCACAATGACCCCCATTTGTGTTCTAAATACGACGAAAAACGAGTTGCAGATTGTTAGTCTCGTTGTTTACGCAAGCGAGACTAATTACAAGGGCTTCACTGGCTTCAATGTTATTTGTATAGGTAATAGCAGGATGATTTGTAGTGATATTTGGCATAAATACCACGAGTGATATTTCGAAATTGTTAGACGTAATTTCACGAGCCGTTAGGCTCCTGGAGATCATAGCATACACTACAATGACAAGGCATTCTTTGTATGGCAAGGTGGCCATGCCGATGCAGGGTGTTGTTTCCTGTCTTTTAACAACACTAGGTAAAATTGTGAATAATTATGAAAGTGAATAAGATCTTTGCAGAAGAATGAACAACCGAAGCGGACAAAAACGAACCTGAAAAAAAAAACGAAACGAACAAACCCCGACTTTAGCGATGAACAGACGCAGCGCTCTATGAATTTTTTTCAGGTTCTTTTCCAACCGCTTTTTAAAAATAGGTTTCTCATTCTACTGCGAAAACTTGTTTTTATTTACATATTTATACAGGGGCACCCAACGTCAATTTTCGGAAAAGTTCTGTTCGGAAGATGATTTGAGATCTAGAATTTTCGGAACATTTTTTGTAAAATTTCTTGATTGCCTGCCTCCGCTAGGATTTTCGAACATCTAAAAAATGGTATAATTGCCCACTTTTAACGGATTTTTACTCTAAAAAGGTCACCTACAATTTTCGGGAGCCTTTTTGTGGCTGAAATTTTCGAAAAGGTAAGTTTTGATACCAACAATTTTCGGATCACTAGACTTTCAGCTAGGAAATCCGAACAGATAAAAATTTTTTAGGGGATGCAAATATGCCTATATCTACCGTTTAAATACTAAAATACGTTTAAGAATGCTATGTTTAAGTGGTTTTGAACTATATTCTCGCTGGGTGCCCCTGATTTATACGCAGTTTAAAATATGATTCATTTCATATATTTCATTTGTAAGTGCTTATTTTGAATTTTACTCGTTTGATTGTTACTGAAGAAAAAGCCAGTATAATTTTGATTCCCTTCAAGTTATATTCATTAATTATTTGCAAAATATTCCAAATATGTGGTGCAAAAGTGATGCATTTTCCTAGAGAAAAAAGCAAGTTCTCCGTTTGTTTGTTTGTATGTTTATTGTTATACTTATGCTTTTGCTTATACATCACAGATCCAATGACAGGGCAACTATCTAATGAAATAGCATTACATGGTGACTACACTATCAACAACCAAGACAATCTTAACATCAATTTCAATATCGTGAGAAATCAGTTCTGTGCTAGAGGTCATTTGACTCCAAACGCGGATTTTTCAGACGGCAACGAACGTGCGCGCACCTATGTAACAACCAACATTGCACCTCAGTGGCAGCTGTTCAATGGTGGTAACTGGCAAATATTAGAAACCATCATACGAGGCTATGCAACCTCTTCGAAAAATCACCTGTTTGTGATCACTGGGACAAGTAAGTAAAAAAAGAATGGCGACTAGTCGGTGGTCGCCAGTGTCAGGTTAACTTTTCCTCATTTCAGCTCAGTTATATACTAGAAATCCCATGCAGAACAACCCAAAGTTCATGTTAGGAAAAGGGCCAACAGTAGGAATAAAGGGAAAACAAACCAAGAGAACAAAAGTAGTAATGCTGGTTGATATAACCCAGAGCCAATCAGAATCGAGTATTTAGGTCACGTGACTGCTCTCGACCAATCAGAAGCCAGCATTTCAATGACATCATAAAACTAACTAAAATTAGATGGTACTTCATGTAAGAGTCACGAAAAGTCCCCAGGAAGTGAGCGGAAGGTATATTGCGAATAGGGGTCACGTGACCTAATTTGCATATTTTTGACGTCACAGGGTCACGTGACCTTTCTGACTGTCAGATAGTAGCCAATCAGAGTGCAGCATTCTTTAACTAGTCCCCAGACTCCCGGAAGTGACCTCGTAACCGGAAGTGCTTGTGCCACCGGAAGTGACATCACAACCGGAAGTGACTCCCTAGTCCACCGGAAGTGACATCACAACCGGAAGTGACTCCCTAGTCCACCGGAAGTGACTTCACAACCGGAAGTCACTCCTAGTCCACCGGAAGTGACTTTACAACCGGAAGTCACTGCCCAGTCCACCGGAAGTGACCGTGCGACCGGAAGTCATCCTCTCAACTAGTCCCCAGGTCCTGAAAGTGACCGCGCAACCGGAAGTCAAGAAATGTGCTCTATTGCACAATGGAATAACTGGCCTTTATATTTGTGTCGGATGTTGTACGCTCACCCTTGTGGTACTTCTTTGTGACAATTTGCAACAACGCATGCGCATAAAGTAACATCGAACATTGTCGCGTACAGCGCGATGGAAAGTCAAGAAAGCAACGCATGAAATTGCTTTTGACGTCACCAAGTCACGTGACTTATTCCCAGGTCCCCGGAAGTGAGAGCGCGACCGGAAGTCAAGAAAATAACACACTGTAATTGCCAATAAAAATCACTTTTTAGATTTAATACAATTTACATGTCGTGCTTGGGTTACATCTGTGATTTATAATTGCAGCATGAGTTGCACTTGCGACCCAAATCCTTTAGAAGCCATTTTTTTTTTTTTTCTGCAAATCGTCTTGCTTTGGTTGTTTAGGTTTATCAAGTTACCCAATTTCTTCTGCTGCAATCGTGAGGACTGAGTTCAGTTTGGTACTCTTGTAGAACATGATGAGCAAAGTTCAAAACCTTGGTTGGGCTGTTTGAACTTAACGAGACAAGCGTTGCAGAGGAATTTTTCTTGAGTACGAGATAATCGTTGATTTTGTTCGAGATATTGCGCCTTTGTGAAATCTAGTTGACGTTGTAGGTTTTGCAGTTGTTGGTTTTGTTCTTGTATGATTTGAAGTAGATTAGCCATAGTTGTTTTATATTCTTTGCATTTGCGACATCTTCTTATCGGTAAAGGTAGTGACAAACATCTTGCAATACTTTCCATGATGCTGTTCCTCCACGATGTCTCATCAGCAACTTTTTTTGTTGTTTGCGGTGGTTATTAAACCTTCGGGACTTGACTCCACGCTTTGGTCCACAATTGATCAATTAATTCTTGAAAATGAGTTTCGTTGTATTTTTGAATCACTTGATTGATCTGACGTTTTTTTTCTGGATCGAACATGATTATATACCTCTTGAAAAGGATTGTAATTCATGCTTTCGGGTGGAATGGTTTGTAAGTGATCATGAAAGACTTTTTCCAGTTGTCTCCATTGTTGTTTTCTGTGTTCTATGGCTTGTTTGATTTCTTGTACATCGGATGGAGATAATATATTGTTAAAATTGTCACGTTCAAGTTTGATCATGAAAGATTCGTGAAAATCGTCCAAATCATCCACTGACAATAGCATTTGTTCAAGAAGATTCTCCTTTAGGCGGAATCTTGCTTCGTTTCTTGCTAGAGCTTGGTATTTGTAGTTTTCCTTGCGACTTGACATGATACGGTCCAATAGCTTCATCCGTTTGGCAACAATTAGTGAGACGTTTGCTTTTTAAAACATGACTAATCACTCGATGCGTATAGGCACTGGTAGAATGAAAATGCAATAGGGAATAGTGCATTGCATCGATATTGTATGAAAAAAAACATTGTGTTTGTTAGAGCAATCAAACTACAACACCACACTGAGTAGAATTTGGCATAAACAATCTCTTTTATTGATAAGGAAAACAACAACATGATTACATGCCCAACTTGAGTTTAGCTTTCATGATATTTTTGACAATATGTTCCGTCAGACTTTTCTGACCTGGCAGTTTATCGATCTTGGCAATCATCTTGCGATCTGCCATCCATTTGTCCTTCAAGTTTTTGGCTCTAGCATAGTCAATGTCATGGGCTTTAGCAATCTTGTCTAACCTGTTGATGCCTGGGTCACCGCGGGCTAAACGTTTCTCCAAATGAGTCCCAGGTCCCATATACTGATAACCGGGCCAATGAAACTCTATGCCCGTCTTGGCCAATAACTTTTGAACATCAAATAACTTGCCTCCGCGTTGCGAACGTCGTCGTCGCTTGCGGGTTTGAGGTGCGACACGGCGTCTCTTGGTCCGTTTCATCATGGGGTTTTCCACGTTTTCCACTCCAAGGCTTTCTTGGCCAGACTTTCTGCTTTCTTTTTGGCCGCGTCGGTGGCTTTTTTGCGAATGTTACGCTTGACGGCTTTCTTGATAGATTCCACACGTTCACTGGGTGTATCCCAAGGTTCTGCACCGTGCGTTTCTGAAAAGGGTAACTCTTGAGCCAACTCTTCGGTGCTCGCCTCGGGAGTGAACTTGAGTTTCTTTTTGGCACTAGGGGTGATAATGGGTTTGGGTGGTACGCGTGGTTTTCTACCGGGTCTGGAGGGTCCTGCAGGAGAGGCACTTTGTTTTATACCCTGGCTAGCCTTGACTAGTTGCGTCAACCAAGCTTGCACTGGGCCAGCATCAAACTCATCCTCACCCGTTTCAGTCGCAGGGGTACCCGTACCACCTACCCCGCTAACAGGCGCACCAAACGGTTGGCGTACTTTTTTGGTCCAATGGCGCAATTGACGCCCCACGGCTTTCAGTTGAGGTCGTTTCCATGCATCGGGGACATCACTGGCCAAGAGCACATGTTGTTTGGCCGCTAAATCTGCCGCTTTGGTCAAGCGAGTATCTTCCACCAACTCTTGTTTGTACTTGTCTCGTAATTGTAAAAAAGCCGGAGCATTGTCCACAGAGGTACTCACCATCTCTTGCTCCATGGTGTAAATGAGGTACAATGTCTAACGCATGGTACGTTTATAGCATCGGTAGAGTTCGGACCAGAGAGTTCCTCCTTTTTGAGACATCATGATAGCGCGTCGACGTTTGACCGAATGAGCCTGTTTGGCCATCTCTCTTAAACTCTGAGCATGGGGTTTCAGCAAAGTGATGGTGTGTCGAGAACGGGGCACGGTTCCGCGGATCGTGTTCATGACCAATTCACTGATGGCATTAATCTGATCCGCATTGGCCAGCCGTAACAATTCTTGTCGTTTATGATTGTCCGCTTCTCGCAACACACTCTTCAGAAACGGAGCTTGACGTTGCATGCGCCAATCCATCGTGTGATTGTTGCTTTGGGTCATCTACCGAAGGTCTATTTATGGTAAAAAGTGCTCCACACAGTTCGCCATGATAATATTGTTGCATGCGGTCGCGACACTGTTGACACAACCTGTCTTCAAAATTTTTGTCGCACTGTAAAAAATAATTGTTAGAACCTTTTTTTCTTCTTCTGAGCACTGCATCGCTTCTAACCTTTCCACGCCCATGTGCGTTTCTTAACCTTGCAAGACGAGAGAGCCATCGCCAACATGAGTAGCACTCTTCCACGTTGCAATCCATGTTGCCAACATCGTTTTCGGGGGAGCTAACAATGCCTCTTTTATAGTTTTTTACTTTAGCATTCGTAATGTCGCTAACCCAGGCAAACCCGTTCGAGTTAACATTCGCTGAACCTCTCGTTTATTGGCTGCCCATTGCGCTGCGCTGATCTTTCCCACTTTTTTCTTGCGCGTGGCTGCGTCGATAGCCTTTTTTTGCACCGTAGCTGGCGCCGCCACTAACGGCTCCTAGCGCTGCCGCCTTACCGAGAGCGATGGCAGCGGGAATGAGGAACGGAAGAATACCTCCTCGTTGCTTTCGTCGCCGTCGTCTTCGTTTGGGTGGCATGATGAGTTGTACAACATCTGATGAACCTTTTTTCACGATGTGTCTCGTTTTTATAGTCTCAAGCCTCGGCGCATTGCTAGGTCGTTGTCAACCCCTTTCATTTCTTTTTATAACGTGCATGGAGTTTAGAAAGCCCATCCTGTGCGTTTTAACGCACGCTCAACGTGTCGTTTATTGGCCGCTAATTGGGCTGGACTGAGTTTTTTTTTCTTGCGCGTGGCCGCGTCGATAGCTTTTTTGGCACCGTAGCTCGCACCGCCACTAACAGCTCCTAGCGCTGCCGCCTTGCCGAGAGCGATGGCAGCGGGAATGAGGAACGGGAGAATACCTCCTCGTTGCTTTCGTCGCTGTCGTCTTCGTTTGGGTGGCATGATGAGTTGTACAACATCTGATGAACCTTTTTGCACGACGTGTCTCGTTTTTATAGTCTCAAGGCTCGGTGCATTGCTAGGTCGTTGTCGAACATCACATTAGGTGAAAGAACTATTTTCTTTTTTACGCTTTTGCAAGGTGGTGCTGCTGACGGTAAATGTACGTTTGTCGGAGACAGGGTCGAGGTATTCATGCGGGTTGATAATTCAGTGTGTTGTCCTCCTTCTCTTTGCCGACGTTGACGTTCGCGTTCTCGTTGCAGTGCGTTTTCGAATGGTAGGGACATCAGAGGGCAAGGTATGCACTTGCGCTTTACCTTCTCGGGGTGTTAAATGACTCCACAAACGGTAACGATCATCCGAGGCAGGATGCACATCCAACATCAAATAACCAAAAGGGTGCGATGTGACACGATTAAATAGTCGCAAGACTTGACGCCAACGGTCAGGAAAGGCTTGAAGTAAAATGGTCCGTATGCCCGTTTGATCTCGTGGGTTTTTGAAGGTCACAATGTAATGCACATTGCGATTAATTGTCTTGGAGAATTTACCGGGTGGAAATAAATCTTGCGTCAAATACAGCACGGTAATGTTGCGATGATGGGAATCTTTGGTAAACAAGTCCAACACGCGTTTGTCCTGTCCTCCTTCTTCCATTAGATCATCCAAGACCAACACACCCCCTCGCGTGGGGCCAAACCATTTTGTCAAATGACTAGGGTCCGGTAAGCCACGATGAAATCGAATGCCATCCTCTTTTTGCATACGCTCGAATCTGGGTTGCCATCGGTCATACGCATACACCATGGTTTTGGGTTTCACTTGAAACACGTTCAGGTACCGCAACCATTGTTCCACCAAGTCGCTTTTGCCACTGCCCGAGGGTCCGGCAATAATCACGCTACTTGGTTGTCGTATCATCCTTCCCACGGGCGAGGTAGACGTCTGTAATGACCCGTGGCACCTTTGGCTCCCATTCGTTTATACCGTTTATCACGTCCCAATTTATAACCGATTTTGGCCGCTTTGGTCAATACACCAATGATCCCGCGCCCATTTTGAGGAATTCGCCATCGTTGGGAGGTTCTCAAGGGTTTTCTTTTTCTTCTTCTCGGCATACCGTCCAATATTCGCGGTATAATCGAGGAGACGCTGACTGAATCAGGTGTTGCATACAATCCCTTAAATACGATTCACCCATGGTGTCCATGTACGCTTTAAGAGACATCCATTCTCTATCTTGAGCCAATTGTCGGGCTAATGTCCAATGATACCCATCCCATGCATCATTGCCTCGGACGGTTTGGACGCGTTCGATGGGATGTAACCACCAATAAAGAGATTCTTTCAAAATGAACGCATCGATAACGCGCTGCACATCGCCGCGTGTAATCATGATGAAAAAATGACACCTCTTGTTGCTGCACTTGTCTTTTTTATGGTGATGATAAGACACTACACACAATTTGATAAGTAAATCACGTTTTTATTACATTTTATTACAAAGCAGAAAGGCCTGGCGGCTCAAATTACTTTGCCCATCCGGTCGGGCATCCACTTCATCTTGTAATTCACGTTTAATCACCCTTTTCAAGTCTTGGGTTACTTTATGATCATTCAACACTAAATTATCGGTACTCCAACTTCCCAAAAAGTCCTTGTAGGTCTGTCCTTGCGCTCTGGCTTTAAGGAAAAATAATGCATAATGACCACAGGTCTGACTATCCATGGCTTGCAAGGTAGTGTCACTGCGAGTTAGGTACTTCCATCGACTCCACCACTTGTGCAACTCTGCATTTTTGTACACGTGCAAGGGTAGACCATAACTGTCAAAGATTTCGCACTTGTTTTGTTCTGTCCACATGCCCAACCAATGTTGTCCCGGTTCCCCCGCTGGATCCGTGTTGACAATGTAGGCCGCGCGAACCGTTTGGGGAGGTGATGGGGGTAGTTTATCGGCTGGGTACACACCTTGAAACACGCGTCGTAATTGAGGATCATCTAAGGCCAACGACCGCAACACGGTATCGCTGAGCGCCACAAACTCCATGGCTGGCTTCTTCTGAAGATGGTTCAACCGTTGATGTTGTACTTTATACCTCCCAGATGATTAATCTCGTACATGTTTTCATACTCGCTCCACACCAACACGGTGATGTTGTGATTAACAGCGGCCCTGAAATCAATCACCAGTCGCACATTCCCCGATTGACGAGGGTTGCGATACTGAGAGTCATCGGCTTTGCCGCTTGGTACATTGTTGAACATAAACAACGTGCAGTTGTTGCCCTGTCCCCAATCACTGGGCATCAGCATGGGGATCTTGTCTTCATTGTAGGAACCCATGGCTTGTAGAAAGCGATCGTAGCCCAGTAGATCTTCATAGGCTTCATCGCCTGTTAGTTCTAGGGTTCTGTAAGGATATTCTTCTCCATTCAAACTTTGTCGCACTTGGGTGACGCCAAACTTTTCAAAGGCAAAGGGGTACCTTTGTAGGTCACCATTGAAGGTATTGGAATGCAGCAATCCCACTATCACTCTATCGGGAAATCGACCCACAAACACATTGTCTTGTTCCCACTGGGTAGTTCTTCCATCAAAGGAGAAGGTGCGGATTTCACTTCGAACCACTGGGTAGCGCACAATCTTTTTTCCCAGCTGTCTTTCTTTTTGCATTCTGACATAGACACTCGCGTTCAAGGTCACTTTTCGCATCAGTAAGGTGACTTTGATGTCATCATTATGGATGGCAGGAAATTTCTTGGTGGTTAAGGTCCCTTTGTTGGGGGTACCCATCAAGTAGACAGACTTGGGGTTTAGAAACAATTCAAAGTCCAACTGCACACCAGGCACCAAACATTTACCCGTCTTGAGGGGTGGTAAATGAGGACGGATGATAAAGGTGTGCCAATTTTCGCTTAGCAACCGGCTGGTCAAGGCTCGCAATTCTACATTTCCACTCCAAGCAGCAGTGGTAGGAGTATCGGAATTGGCACCTGTGGCCCCCATTTCGTCAATCACATTGAGTTGATTCACCCAGCCTTGAGGGGCTAACTTGGTGGCTCCTTCTTCTCTGTTGTAATTCAATAAGGTTTCCAAGTAGGCTCTGTAATGGTAGGTATTGCTCTGTTCAGTCATGAGCACACCATTCATGCTCATGGTAATATCTCGAAAGATGGAGTGCGCAAAATTGTTGACGCAGTAGGTGTTTCTGGTATTGTTGGCATCGGAATCGGCCAAATTGGCTTTCAATCCTTGATACCCACCTGCAGGATCAGTCAGACGTACTTTGACTTGAAAACGGAGTTCGTTGAGATCATAATAATCTTCGGAGGCCGGGATGGAAAACGTGATAGGCTGTATTCCTGTCAAGGCAGGTTGAAACATCACGTCCCTGGAGGCTTCGTAGCGGTAATCCACATTAGGGACATCAAACAAATTGAGCGACATGTTTTTTTTTCGGTCAGCCCCAAGTCCACAATGAGAGTGAAGACGTTCAACGACGTTTCCTTTTTATAGCGTTCCGAGCCAGCCAATTGGGGTCTACTTGGTAGTCATAGGGGGTCATCCAGGGATAACGCATACGCATTCGCGTGGACTTGCCAAAGATAGTTCCTCCTTTCATACGTTGCTTCAGCCAGCGTTCTATCATCAAATCATTCTCTTGGGACGTAGAAGGGAATCTCAAGGGATTTTGCATTCGCATGCGGGTAGACTTGCCAAAAATCGTACCTCCTTTCATCTTGCCACGTTGCTGCAGGTGTTTCAGCGTCCATCGCTCTAGTGCTGGAGATGATGAGTATATGAAGGGATAGCGCGCTGTAGTAGATTTACCAAAGATAGTCCCTCCCGTTTGATACGGTGAAATGAACCGCCCTCGTGGGCGCTGAAGTCGAATGCGATTTTGCGTTTTGCGAAATCCTCCAATGCGTACCATGGTTCACAATCCAAAAATATCCCGTACGCGTTGAGTCGTTCTTTTATAGGTATTTTGAGCGGTTCGCTTGGCTTTGTTTTTTCCCACGGTCCAGGCCAGGGCAGGAGCTTTGCGTTTCAAGCCGCGTTTAATTTGCTCTCCACGATTCGACAAGGTGTCAGCCAAACTCATTCCTTGTTGGATATCTTGGAGTCCCGCTTGGGCTTGCTGCACGATGAGAGGACCGGCTAGTTTGATTAAGTCTTCAGCCAACCCTTTTCCCTCCTGAGTCGTCACCACGGGTGTGTGGTAGCGCGTTAAACTCCCTCCTCGCATCTCTGTTCTGTTTTTTTGTATGGTCTTCTCTCAGATGTGCGTGGTGGTTTTTATAGCTGTTTGAGACCTATCGTCACAATGGTTTTGCCGGGGGGTAAAATTGTTAGGGGGCCACTAGTATCAGCAATTTCTACTTCGACGATGTCCAATTGGTTGCCTCGCACTTTGATCCACTGGTGATGCAGTGGTTCCGCCGTACTTTCTCCCTCACCGGTTCTCAATAACTGTACTTCCCGCAGCAAGGGAAACTTGCCACTGCCTACTACAGTAGATTCCACTACATCCGAATAGACCATCACAGTGCGTTTGCTGGTTCCTACAATCTTTTCAAACGAAGCATTCAAGTTGTTGAACTGCCATTCTACCACCCTAGACAAATGAAGCCGCTTTCCGTTTACCTCGAACACTTGATCCGCGATGTCACTGGTCAAATCCGTGGGTTGCACCGCAAGAAAGTGATCTCCATTCCAGTTGTAGTCTGCGCGAGCAGCAGAGTCGGTACTGTCTGGCTGGGTCTGGTTTGTGTAGGTCACGGTAGGGAAGGTGAATTGGAGATTAGGTCCAATCGCATAACCTACATCCACACCTGCGGGTTTTTCAATGAAGCCAAACCTTTCCGCTATCCCCAGATCCATGGCAAAGGTGGTGGTCGTTGCGGTCTTGTCGCTTTTCATTGCGTCTTCTTTAGGGATGGCATGCAGTACCAAGACATCGTCTTTCCAGGTCATCCTAGGCATCCAGTTCTTTTTCACACTGACTATGGGTCGTTGATTCGCATTGAAGGTTAAGGCAGATTCTTGTTGGTTCAACAGTGCCTGCATGATTTTATTGTGCACTTCTTGCATCACGCGTTTCCAAAACTCACTGCCTGTGGTCACAGACTGTTTGGAACTCATGACATCTTCCAATTCCACTCCATAATCCTTCGTCTTGTATCCCACAAATCGGTACTTCCCAGTCACCCATTTGCGCGTCAAGTACGTGACGCTGAATTTGACGACTTTGGTATGAGGATCCGTGGCAATGACGGCATTGCTCTGTCCTTTATCCGGCACGGTCAGGGACATCAACGAGGTGTGCCAACCTTCGCCAGGTAAGTTGAGACGTTCGGGTAGACGGACCTTGAAACTGTTGTTGGCATTTTTGGGAAACTCGTCGGTTGGATCGCTGATGAGGGTCAGACGTTGAATTTTACTCATGATGAGGATACTCGTCTAAGGGTACGTGCTGGTTTTTATACCTGTTTGAGACCTATCGTGACGATGGTTTTGCCAGGAGGTAAGATGGCCAGGGGTCCACTGGTACTCGCAATCTCGACTTCCACGATATCCAATTGTTGTCCTCGCAGTTTAATCCACTGGTGGTGCAAAGGTTCTGCCGTACTTTCCCCATCACCGGTTCTCAACAATTGCACTTCCCGCAGCAAGGGATACTTGCCACTGCCCACTATGGTGGATTCGACGAGATCCGAATAGACCATGACAGTGCGCTTGCGTGTCCCCACCATCTTTTCAAACGAGGCATCCAAGTTGTTCAACCGCCATTCAAACGCCTGATGCAATCTCATCCACTTCACATTGTCTGCTGTCATGATAGAAAAGGCTCGGCTGCTAAAGTTAACTCCCTCGTACACGTCTCCTTCCCAATTGTAATAGGTTCGATATCGGCTACCGACGGGACCCGTGTTCTCACCATAGGTCTTGGTTGGTAGAGAATATTGCAGACTCGGGCCTAGCACAAAATCGGACGTGGCGTAGCCAGTCTTGCCTGTCTTTCTGCGCAGTAATCCAAACTTGAGCGCAATGTCCACATTGATGTAAAACTCCACCATGTTGATTTGCTGATTGTTCAACAAATTTTTTTTGGGAATCGCTTTAATCAGCAGAGACTCTTCTTTCCAACTCAGTTGGGGCATACCGTGTTTATTGACAAACACAATTGGTTTTCGGTCGGGTTCGGTAACTGATGCGTTCCATTGATCTTTCATCACTTCGGTCATGATTTTGTCGTGCAACGTTTGCATCACGCGTTTCCAAAACTCACTCCCTGTCGACACGATTTGAGTTGCATTCATGATCTCTTCCAATTCGATCATTTTGGTTGACAATGCGGTGTCTATGAACAAATACGCTGAGGTGGATGGGTCGCCCGTGTCTGTCCATTTGCGGGTACTTATCGCATGTTTGTATCGGATTACTTTGGTATGCGGATCCGAGGCGATGACGGCATTGCTCTGACCTTCATCCGGAACGGTCAGAGACATCAAGGTGGCATACCAACCCTCGCCCTGTAAGGAGAGAGGTTCGGGCAGACGGACCTTGAAACTGTTGTTAGTATTTTTAGGAAACTCATCGGTCGGATCGCTGATGAGCGTCAGGCGTTTAATCACACTCATGCTGATAAACAAGAGGCGCGTCCAAGTAGTGCAGGGTTCTTTTATAGCCACTGAACCACTTTTTGTTTGCTACGTGGAACCCATCCCACTAAAGAATTAAAGGTTGATTGTTTGGGGTAAAAACATACTTGCTGAGCAATGTTGGGAAACGCTTGTGCCAATTCCATTAGAGTTAAGCAAGTTTTTTGTTGGGTGGCTTTTTTCTTCTTGCGCATGGGCGGATGACGACCAGCGCGCCGGCGTTGTTTCTTTTGGGCAGTCGTGTAAGAACGAAGAGCTTGTTTCCCAAAGGCGAGTCCGGCCATTCTGTTGACTTTGGCTCGTCTTTGTTTCGTTGCTTCCTTGTTAATAAACTTCATGATCTCGACCTCATCCATGTAGGGTGCCGTGTAACTGGCTTCAGTGGGTATTGGGTACAGAAACCGTCTACTTCTTCTTTTTTTTCGCTGTGTTGTTTGTTTTCTTCGCACCATGGGCGGGAATCCAACTATCGTACTTGGGTGGCCAGCCTTTCCACCGCACTAACACGTTGCGTCCTTTACGTTTCAAGACTTTTTCGACCCGAAATAACGAGTCATCCGACACTTGCACTTTTTGCACATCGGGTTCGTAAAACGTACCTTTTATAGGCGTACCGTCCCATTCACTGAGTCGATAGGTCACGATGGGATGTCGACGTACATGCGTGACCACAAACACTTCTTCTGTCCATCCAGGTAGATACCCTTTTTGAAAGGGTCGATGTTTCTTGTTGAGGCGTACGCGATCGCCCACTTGACATTTGGGAGGTGGCGTCTTTTGCTTCAAGCGCTTACCGTAGAGTCTGTCCCAGACCTCGGGCACAGTTTTTTCCGTGACTTGCTGCGGAGTCATGCCAATACTACGATGATAGGACTGATTGTACGAGTGAATTAAGGGTTGTAACACGTCCACATACCTCAACGTATTGTGGGCCGTAAAGTAGCGGTACATCCGTTGTTTCAACGTGCGATGCCATCGTTCTACCACGGAGGCCTTACTATCCCCATACGTTGAAAAATGATGCCAGTCATGTTTCTTGAACCAGGCTTGCACCCCTGCATTATAAAATTCTTTGCCTTGATCCGTCTGCACGCGAAGGGGTTGTCGAGGTGAGGCTTGACGACGAATGCCTTCTAACCCTTGTATCATTTCTTTACTGCTTTTGGATTTGATGGGGATCGCCCACGCATACTTGGACAGCACATCGATGACTGTCAGCAAATATTTGTTGCCCTTATTCCATCGACTGAGTTTTTGCATGTCCACCAAATCCATTTGCCATTGTTCGTCTCGGTCAAACACCAAGGTGGGAGTGGTAGGGAAACGAGTCCGTCGGGGTTTGTGTAACGTATAACTGAGAACGGATTGCAGAATTTGTTGCGCTTGAAGAGTTTTCAATTTGTGGGCTTTGGCAAAGGGGTCTACCCCACCCAGGGCCCCCTGTTCTTGGGGATCTTCGTAAGCGCGTGCTAACGACATAGCGCAGTGACACAGATGCTTTAAGGGCCTTTTTCTTTAATAGTTTTTTGCAAAAACAAAGTTCCACTACCACCTCTTCTTTCTCTGAGCTTCAGCAAACTGGTTCAGCGTTGTTGTTGGGACGTGCTAGGTACATGCAGTGTCTGGACAGTATCTCTTTGATGTATCTTCTCAGCACGGTGGCGCTTGTTCTCTGGGACGGTACAGCAAAGCATCAAGGCAAATGGATTCTTGCTCAGACAAATTTGACTTTGCAAAAGCACAATACCTCCAACTTGTCTTTCCTCATTGTATCCAATAACCAATCAACTCCAAGCACGAGAGCACTTGCGAGCCAAATTGTTCTTCAATGCGAAAATACCACTGTGCTGCCAACGGGAACTGTTTTAACCACACCACATACGTGACAAATCTCCCCAAATCACGATGGACGTGCGTCTCTTTAAAGGTTTCCACAGGATCACCCCATTCTTGCAAAACAGGCTGCTCGGAATATTTTAAAAATAAACGACCGCAAAGAAAACGAATCAAACGCCAACGCAAATAATACCACATTTTTCTTTGTCTTTTTTTTTAAAAAAATAACTTTAATGACAACTCACTATATACACTTTTTTTTTTTTGTTGACTCTTAAGGAAAAAAAACTCTAAATGCTAAGCACTGAAAGAGGGGTCTAAAAATATGATGTTCTCGCGTATAGTCATTGTCTTCATCATAATATCGAGTGAGTTTCTTGGCTCCATTGATTCCATAACTCGTATGATAACCGGTTAATAATCTATGACCCTTATACGTATCGCGCGATGGATGCTGTATTTTAACCACAAGATACCCAAAAACATGTACTTTGTAAAAAGGTACATCGGTTCGAGTAAATATGCCTTGGTGACTATGTTGTACTTGATATAGTTTTCTTCTACCAAACAGTTTACATTTCTTGCAACAAAACTTAAAGAAGCTAAAAATGTTAGAATCTATTATATATTTAATTGCAGGAAGATCATGTTCTTCAAACCGACGCATTTTCGTCAACTGATTTCCACAATCCCAACAATGATGTTTTCCATAGTCGAATGGAAACAATTGTTCATGCAAGACTTTCCATCCCATCTCATTTCGTGCGTGAACCATCGGACGCCAATAAATGCGTTCTTGAATAAACCAGGGTAACTTTTTCCAAGGTAATGTCTCATCAAAAGTTGACTGTTCCTCCATACTGTTGCTCAGTGATACCCCAATTGTTGGATGATGGGACTGCTCTTGTATAGTAGACAAAGGGACTGTTGCGTCCGCCGCCGCCGCCGTCTTCGCGCGCGCCGTCTTCGCGCGGGCCGCCGCCGCCGCCGCCGCCGTCTTCGCGCGGAGCCCCCCAGCCGCTGCTGCTGCCTGCTTTCATCTGATTTTTTCGTTTTTCCTCCATGTCTGCCTTCAAGTTGCTAAAGTACTCCTGAAGGGCCATCTTTTTGCAAGCTTCTTTGTGTTCTTGCGCTTTTCTTTTGGCTTCTTCTCGACTGGCTGGTACGGGTAACTGTTTGAATTCAAATCGCATTTCATCTTGCCAGGCTGCATTCTTGTTGGTAAAAGGTTGATCAAACCACTGAAAGTAAGGGCATTTCAACTCTTTGCTCCAATTGTTGCAGCTCAAGTACAAGCGATTGGGGTTGGTTTCCGATTGACTCAGTTTCAGCACAGGGCTAAAATGGCAGAAACATTGCAGAATGTCCCAACATTCCATCACATCATGACTGGGTAGTGTGTAATGCAGGGCTTGTAGATAAGCATCGATGTTACTGGCAAATAGAAACACGGGGCAATCGACGTCGGGACAAAACAACACTTCTTGTTTTTCAATCTCATCGGGTGGTTTTTTACGAGTGAGAGGTTTCAAGTGGAAGGGGCACGTTAACAAATCCACCACGTCTAAAGGCGCTCGAGGTGGACTCCGACTTTGCGGTGCAGGTGGACTGCCAACTTGAGGGATCATGTCCACTTCAGCCAACAAGGATTGAATGGCCTGATCTTTTTCTTGCTCTTGTTTTTCTTCGACCCATTGCCCATCTTTCATCGCATAATGTTTCTCCACCACGATAGGTTCGGGTGTTTCTTTGGCAGGATCGGTCTTCAAAACGGTGGGAGAATCTGTTTCCCATTTGGGTTTTTTCTTCTTTTTTTCTTTGGAGTCAGGTTTATCTTTCTTGACATATTTGCGTTTCGCGGGTAGAGCTTCGACTGGTGACTGCATGATGCAACTGATGAAAATTACGAGTTGCTCCGAGACTATATAAGCGCGATCACCTGATCTTCAACCAATCATTTTGTTGCAGCGCGCTAGCGGAACAACTGGATTGTCTCGTTTTAACTCGTTTGTACTGGATTGACTGGTTTTCACCTGTTTGTACTGGTTTAACTTGTTTTTTAAAAAGAAACTCGTTTAACATGTTTTTGAAAACAAGTATATTAGTAGTGATCCTCAATCATTTCTTCATTCTAACCATGGCTTCCTCCAATCCTGCAGAGCCTTCAAAAACATGGACACATTTCAGGAATTTTGTGGAAAAAAAAGACGAGTTTGTAGAAGAACCCATGGAACATCCAGCCGGTGAAAAATATACCATTGTGACCGGTGGAGCGCAAGGAGCCGATGAATATGCTGAACGACTGGCTTTGGCGTATGAATGTCGGTTGGATATCAAAATAGGCCCCAATCATCCCAGAGCTAAATGTCTTAGTCCCATTCAACCCACTGAAGCCGATCTTTATCATACTCGTGAATCCATCAAACGAGCCAACCAAACGCTTCAGCGTAAAAGTCCTATTGGTACAGCTACTTATTTTGAAGAATTAATGGTTAGAAATTATTTTATTGCTAGACAATCTTATGCTTTGTATGCCTTTGGGTACTTAGACGCTAACAGGACAACGGTCCAAGGAGGCACCGGATGGACCGTTCAACTGGCTTTGGATATGGGGAAACGCGTGTACCTGTTTGACTTGACGGACAACCAGTGGTATGAGTTTATCTATTATCATCTACAAAAGGGTTCGTATGTGAAAAAATGTCAGTTTCAACTCTTGAAAAGTGCTTGTTCTCTCACTCTCTATAATCATGTGGGGATTGTAGGATCGAGACATTTTACAGAACAAGGTAAAAAGGAGATGAGACATCTTTTTCGACGTACCTTTTTAAGATGAACAACAACAACAAGAAAGTTGATTTTTGTCCACAAGTCGAGGTGTATCAACCCATGGGGCAAACCATCCTGTTAAAAAAACAGGCTTTACGAGATGAATCCCCCAATCCGGTGATCTCCTTTTTTCAACAAAGACGTATAAAACTACGACAACTCATGCATGAACGTCATTTGGTCAGAAAAAGTCGACGCGCAGAACGCGCTCAAGCGAATGAAAGATTATTACAAGAATCTTCGTCAGAGTGATTTCCCTTCGTGGGACGATTACATGGTAAAAAGAGTTCAACAAGGACTGGAAGCAGGGTATACGTTTCAAGAGTGTTACGAGCATTGGCTACAAGATTTTTCCGATACTTTGCATCGATTGAGTGACGAACTCCATGGACAAACTACTGAGCCAGCATCCACTCAGTAATTATTCGACTTACAAAGAGTTTATTCGTGATTTGATTCAAGATGCTGTTTCTAAACAAGAATACACCTTTGAACAATTAAATTACGAATTGTATCGGCTAAACACTCAAATCTATCAAGAGTTCACCCACGAGCTGATTACTACTCATGTATATACTTCAAGATAAAAATTTACAAGATAAACTCTCGACCACTGGTTGGGCCAGAGATTGGGTGTGGAGTGTGGCTTATGCGATGATTCAAAAATTTGGTATGGATAAAAATATACACTTAATCCCTCCTAGTGTGGAAGCCTGGAGTAAACAATGGTATACTTACAGAAGTCAACTTGCAGATACTCTGATGGAACTGTTACCCCAACTCGCCTTTCATGACATTCATGAAGAATGGCAATGGAAAATGGTGGAAAAACAACATCCCAGTCCGCCAGAATGGGGAGGCAACATGGATTTTTGTTGGAATTTTATGAGACCCAAAGATTCTGTCATTGAAGCTTTATTGTGTTTATTTTCTTTCAATTTAAACAAATATGGTACCTATGATTATGAATTCTTGGGATTCACACATAACGATATTGATCAATTATTTCATTGGCAACGAGATATTCAATAAAACACCTTGTCGAAGTGAATGTATTGCGTGTTGTTTTTTTAATGGTACAAAACGGGAACCTCCTCACATGCATTCCTTTCAGCCACATAAAAGAAATCCTTTCCATTCGCACTACATGATAAAACTTTTGCATTTTTTTTTTTGAAAATCAACGCAGATTCTAAAAGAGAAATCGGTCGATGTCTCTTTCCCGATCGACCGCCATTTTGTTTTCTTCTAGGAAATGCGTACATTTTTTTTAATGATTGTTTGCTTGTTGGGAAGAAAAAACCACCGAGTTGTACTGATTTACTAAACGTGATCATGTTTCACATGGAAAAAGAAGAAACCAAACTCATCTCGCATAACTCAAGTTTTCCTTCTCCGTGCGTGAATTGAACTCCCATCTCTCCGTGTAACTCCACATGGTGCAATACGGGGCAATCGAGAGTCGCCAGTTCAATTCACGCATGGTGTAGGAAAAAAACTTAAGTACATGCGAGCCTGGACTTGCGGTCCGAGTTGATATATACATGGTCGAGTGAAAGGGAACGCGCGCAAACTATTGACGACTTAAATTTACCTAGGTTATCTTAGCTTATCCGTAGTAGTGTAGGTGAGATCGCGCGCGCAGTGAATACAGATCCAGAGGTCATGAGTTCGAGCCCGACCTGAAACTTCTTTCTTCTTCTTCTTCATCTTCTGTCTTTAAAAAGTAAAAAAAAAAAAAAAAAAAAAAAACTAAGAACAAAAAAATTCTAAAATCAAAGAAAAACAAAAAACTCTAAGAAAAAAACAAAATCTAGAAACCAAGAAAAAAAAAAACCTAGAAAAAGAAAAATCCTAGAAGAACAAAAAGACATTCACGTGTGACAGGTGTCAATCATGACGTCAATGACAGGAACCAATCAGTGAGCAGCCTCGTTTTGAGAAGCCAATGAGAAGATGTGAGTCAAAATGACGTCAAAAGAAATGGGGTATATAACAGAGTGCACAGCCTCATTTTCATCACTTTTTCAAGATGGACGCAGTCCTTGAAAACTTTTTGTAAGTAGACAAAAAATGAAAAGATACAGGGAAGAGTTGTCTTCCGACGAAGATGATGAGCTTGTAGCTAAAGCAATGGAGGAGTGGGAGAGAAACGGACAAGTGACAGGTACTGGTCCACTGTTGGAATACACGTGGAGTTCCGACGAAGATGATGAGCTTCTAGCTAACGCAATGGAGGAGTGGGAGAGAAAGGGACAAGTGACAGGTACTGGTCCCCTGTTGGAATACACGTGGAGTTCCGACGAAGATGATGAGCTTCTACCTAACGCAATGGAGGAGTGGGAGAGAAAGGGACAAGTGGGTGGAGGTGCTGCTGCTGCTTCTGCTGCTCCCCTGTTCGCGTTTCAGATGGATATAGTTGGCCCTCGAAAAAATTGGAAAAATGTGGTCAACCAAACGCAGTTTCGCGCCCAACTGAAGCAACTAAGAGATCCAATCGACGGAGATGATATTGGGGTGGAAATAACGAACGCCTTACACGCAGCCATCGAGGCAGAATTGAGAAGGGAAAAAAGAAATGCCAACGATTTTGTCAATTTCAGTATTACAGCGCAAGGGTTCAACCACTCATATCAGAGTGTGAATTTTACAGTGCAAGAATTTTTAACAAATTCGGTGCGTTTGCACGAAGTTTTGGAACAGTTGGCAGGAAAATTAAATAGTAACGAGTCCTTTCAGCACAATCAGTCATTTGAAGTCAATGTCGTAATGGTCAAGACACCGCAACGTGGTAGTGGAAAAAAATACAGAAACCCGGGTCAGCGATGTATAGATAATGAGAACAAGAAAAAAAGATGCATCATTCCTATCAGAAATGATGACGAACTATGTTGCCCCAGAGCAATCGCGACCATGATTGCTCATTGCAGACGAGAGGAGTCCAATGATGCCTCATTTCATTGGCGCTATATGAAAGAGGGAAAGGCGGTTCAAGAACAAGCCGCTCGTGAACTTTGCCAACAAGCTGGCGTAAAGCCAGGACCGTGTGGATTGCAGGAACTGCAAAAGTTCCAAGACTATTTGCAACCAGAGTATCAGCTGTTAGTGATGAATAGGGCAAATTCCTTTTTTCTGCTTTTTAAGGGTCCGCCTGCCTCAAAGAAAATTTGCTTAATACAGTCAGATGATCATTACGATGGCTGCACATCGTTCTCAGCCTTTCAAAACAGGTCTTACTGGTGCTCTCTCTGTGAAAAGGGATACAATGTGAACGATGCGAAGAACCACCCGTGTGAAGGTAGATCATGCCATTCATGTAACCGAACAGATTGTACAGATTATAAAAGAAATAGCCAACCCACCTTGATCTGTGATTGCTGCCATTGTCGCTTTTATGGAGCCAATTGTTTTCAGCATCACCTCCAAACTAAGCAATGTCAGTCACACAAGACGTGTCTGAAATGCTTTGCCGAATATAATGTGATAAAAGGCAAGCGTCATCGGTGTAGGTTTGCCGCTTGCCCATCTTGCAAGCAAGTGGTGGACATACAAAATCACAAGTGCTTTATACAGCCTCACGTAGAGAAAGAATCCCAACCCAAAATGGATAAAGAAGGGAACGAAAAACAGCCACTACCTCCACCCTTATTCGTATGGGCAGATATAGAGGCCATGCAATTGCCCAACCGAGAATTTCAGCCAAACATGTTGTGCTACAGGACCAGTGAAATGGAGAACATTGTCACCCACAAAGGGAAGGATTGTGTTTGTACGTTTCTGCATGACTTGGACGAAGCCACGGACATACCAAATGATGACCGTGATAGACCAATCATTATCATTTTCCATAACCTCAAGGGGTTTGACGGTGTATTTCTTATCAATGAACTGTACAAACAAAAGCGTACCGTCGAAAATCAGTTAACCACCGGTTGCAAAGTGCTGGCATTTCAGAGCGGGTCCCTTATGTTCAAAGACTCCTTGTGTTTTCTACCATTTCCGCTAGCTGACTTTCCGACCACTTTTAACTTAACCGAGTTAAAGAAAGGATTTTTTCCCCATCAATTTAATTTGCCCCATCATAAAGAGTATGTGGGCCAAATACCCAGCATAGAGTTTTTCGACCCTGAAGGAATGTCTGACAAGAAAAAGAATGAGCTAGAACGTTGGCATGAGGAGCAAGTGAAACGTGCAGTGCAATATGACTTTGCAAAAGAAATGGAAGAGTATTGTCGCTCTGATGTTGCGCTCCTGCAAGCAGGCTGCCAAGCCTTTGCAAAAGAATTTGAGAGTAACGCAGGGTTCAACCCCTTTGAAAAATGTGTCACCATTGCGTCAGCCTGTCATCTCTACTGGCGCAAGCATTGTTTAGAAGAAAAAACGATAGCAATAGAGCCGTTGAGAGGGTGGCGGGGGGCCAATGTCAACAATTCCACAAAAGCATTACAGTGGCTTTACTATGAGGAAGATCGTATCCCAAACAAAGGTGCCAGTGCAGATCATATTAAACATGTGCGAAATGGAGGGGAACAGTGTGTCACGACGTCCACAGATTCCTACTTTGTAGACGGATTCAATCCTGCAACCAACACCGTTTATGAGTTCAATGGCTGTTTTTGGCACGGCTGCAGGACCTGCTATAGCAACAATCGACACTGTAAGCATGCCACCAATCCCGACCGAACAATGGAGGAATTGTTCAGAGCCACTATGGCTAAGGAAGAAGCACTCAGAACAGCAGGCTATAAAGTGAATGTGATGTGGGAATGTCAGTGGGATGAATTATGCAAGACCAATCCTTTTGTCAAGAACTTCGTATCCACGCTGTCTTTGGTGGAACCTCTGCAACCTCGACAAGCGTTCTTTGGGGGCAGGACTGGCGCGGTAGCGCTCCATGCTGTGGCAGAGGAGGGGGAGGAAATACGCTATGTTGATGTGACCTCCCTCTACCCGTGGGTGAATAAAAATGCCACTTACCCCATAGGTCATCCCTCGATCTTCACCAACCCGCGCAGTCAAGACATCGAAGATTATTTTGGGCTGGCAACCATAGATATTGTACCACCCGCGGATTTATTCCACCCAGTGTTGCCCGTCAGAAGTAACAAAAAACTAACCTTCCCTCTATGTTCCACCTGTGTAAAGATTGAACAATCTAATGCTATGCTGTTGAGAAGTAGTAGTTGTTCTCACACACCCGAAGAAAGAACATTAAGAGGGACATGGACAACGCCGGAAATCCAGAAAGCGGTTGCAAAGGGCTACAAAGTAGTCAAAATTTATGAAGTGTGGCATTTTCCAAAACACCAGCGACGAGAGGGATTGTTTGCACAATATGTAAACACATTTCTAAAGCTGAAACAAGAGGCCAGCGGTTGGCCTAACGAAGTAGGAGATGACGCTGAAAAACGTCAAGATTACATTGCCAATTATCTCCGACATGAGAACATTCAATTAGACCCGGAGAAGATTGAGAAAAATCCAGGCAAACGATCCACCGCAAAATTGACGATGAATTCATTTTGGGGCAAATTTGGCGAAAGGCCAAATAAGCCAAAGACCGTCACAATAACTCAACCGTCGCAGCTGTACCCCTATTTGTTCATGCACAATTTTTCATTGCACAATCTGCGCATCTGCACTGATGATGTACTCGAAGCCGTATTTACTGAAGTGCAAGAAAATGTAGTGCCAAGCAACAAAACAAACATTTTCATCGCATCGTTTACGACTGCTTGGGCCAGACTCAAACTGTACGAAGCCTTGGACGTACTGCAAGAGAGAGTATTATATTACGACACGGACTCAGTAATATATAGGTGGAAACCTGGACAGCCCTCTATTCCTACAGGAGACTACTTGGGCCAAATGACGGATGAGTTACAAGGGGACTTTATTACCGAGTTTATATCCCGGGGCGCAAAGAACTATGGGTACAGAACTAAAGAAGGCAAAAGTGAATGCAAAGTCAGAGGGTTCACCCTGAATGTGAGAGGAAAAGAGGCCCTCAATTTCAACACAATGAAAAAAAACATTCTAAGCGAACTTAACGATCCACAGGAAGAAAGACGTGTTATCAAAGTAACCAATCCAAACCATTTCAAAAGAGACACCACGCACAAGTCAATCAAGCTTGTAAACCAAGTAAAGCAATATGGACTGGTATTTGACAAGCGGGTGATTGACCCGAAAACTAAAATTAGCTACCCCTTTGGGTACAGAGTGTTAACTGAACCCGATAAACAGTGAACTTTTATTAGAGCTGTAAAAAAAGAATTCTTGACAGCAATCGAACCTGCGTTCACCACAGGACGAGCGCGCTCACAGCCATTTTTAACTTTTAAAACAAATGGGCGTAACGTCACTAGGACGTTGCACACGTCCCTCTTGTAACTAAGGTCTTCTCGAGATTGTATTAAATCCAAAAGTGATTTTTTATTGACAATTACAGTGTGTTATTTTCTCGACTTCTGGTAGCACAGCCACTTCCGGGGACTGGGGACTAGTTAAGGGAGATGGGTCACGTGACCCGGTGACGTCATAGATTGAGACACTTCTGCTAGTAGGCAATCACCCTTCAGCTGTCATAACGTCACAACAATCGCATCGCATCATCACAGAGATTTTTCGTGACTCTTACATGAAGTACCATCTAATTTTAGTTAGTTTTATGATGTCATTGAAATGCTGGCTTCTGATTGGTCGAGAGCAGTCACGTGACCTAAATACTCGATTCTGATTGGCTCTGGGTTATATCAACCAGCATTACTACTAACAAAAAAAGTGGAATAATAAGTATAAACAAACAACAACCACAACTAAAATACGTCTCAGCTCGCGGTCTAATCTAAAATGTTTTCAGTGGGGACTGCTTTATCTTGCAGAAATTTTGCCAGAAATCTCCCTTTACAAAACTGTCGAGCCGTACCATGTACTCAAAGATAGATTTCACGAAAAGTAAGTTTTTGGCGCTAAAATCGGAACTGCAGTTCATCTCATTTGACGATGGCCGACGCGGCAGACACTGAAATTCGTCTGCAAAGTGAGAAGCAATTTTCTCTTATCTTGATTTTCGCCCTTATTTTGAAGCTAGCGGTCTAAATCGCTCTCATTTTAAAAATTCTCTTTAGAGCACTTCTGCAGTCGAAATTCAAGTCAAAAACCATTTCTTGACCGCTAGAAGGGTCGAACACAAAACAACCGGTACATTTTTTTTGTCGCTATTTCTCTGCTGGGCAACTGCGGACACCAGCCAAACAGATGGGAACATTTATTACGAGACGGTGTTAGTTGGTGTTCACTTCTCGTTCAGCGATCCATGTATGATTCACGCGCGAGGTTAATTTCGACAAATTTACTAGAAATACCGTGTATTGCGGAACCTCGTGAGTTTAGGTTTAGGGTGAGCAGTGAAAGAGAAAAGCAAAAACAAACAGAAATAAAACAAAGAACAACAATTTTAAAAGGTAGATTTCAGGCAAAACTTGTCTGTGAACTGAGATGCACTGGCAAATATTCATTTACCTCGACTTTCTTTTTGAAGCTACTGGTCCAAATTGCTTAAATGCTCTCTGTACAATACTTCTGCATCGAACTGTAACGATAAATGCATTTCTTGATCGCCGATAAAACTCAAACCGCAAGGCCTTCGGCCTCGCTACTTGAGGAACAGCTGGCGGGATTAGCGGGCGAGTGCTGTATTGTTTTGCCAGTGGGGCTGCGAGAAGATTGGGAACAAGTCAAATTGATAGCTGGTGTAGCCGCACGCACTTGCACGGGATTAGCGGGCGAGTGCTGCCAAGAAACAACCCCGTACATAACAATCCCGCCAGCTACACAGGCTAAGCAATTCTTTGATTTACACACGGTATGTATCGATACAAATGCGCCATGCAAGTATGGCGTTTTGTTTTGTATTTTTTGTATTTGTTGTTGTTGTTGTTGTTGTCGTTTTGCGATTTAATCAACATAGAGCGGCTTATACTTATCCTGGTTTACAAATAACTAGGAAATAAAATATTAAGCTAGATTACTTGACAGAAGTTATGTTTGGTAGTTTATTAAAGAGAGAGCTTTATTCTTATTGTCATAAATAACGTTTTACGCCCACGTGGCCTTCGAAGTTAAGCTTTTCTCGTTTTTATCAAGGTGGGAGCGCAACGAATTTAAATGGAGTTGCTGTCTGGCTGAATAATCGAGTTCTTGCACCAGGATATTATTGGAAGGCTGTGTGTGACCCAATCAACAAGCAATCCATTTTTTTTTTCGCTGAAAACAACGTTGGTAACGTGGATGATGTGCAAGAAAAGGGTTGCTTCAAAATAACACAAACCAAGAAATATGGTGTAATAAAGTGCGACAGTATCTCAAACGCCAAGGGGGATATAGCAAAAAAATTTGGCTACTTGCCAAATTTTAACCAAAAGAATTGCGAACCTGATAAAGTAGGTAGTAAATTCATGGAATATGTCATGACTCAGTATAACCGTTTTATGTAATCTTATGAAGAAGACGGTCATGACGGGGAGTCTGCTTTGACTGTTGACCGCTAAAAAGTAAACTTTTTGACGGTTGACGGCTCAATTTTAAGCAGTTTGACGGATGATGGTTAATCCCACTATATTACGCAAAGATGACGTCATTTTCTAAAGACAACGAGTAAAAATTTTCATTTTCAATAATCCTGAGCATCCAATTTGAAGTTATGCATGTAATAAATGAATAACCAGTGGAATAGAGAATTACTAATTCTCTGGTTTTGACCGGCTTGTCACTGGCTCAGTGTGTGCATAATTACGACCAAATATATGCGGCCACTGCCCAGCGGTTACCCTTATGAGCCCCTCTTTCACTGAAAAGTAAGCGTAACGTAGAGATCCCCTAAAAGCAATGAATACCGATAGTTACTTAAAAATCGAGAAGGCTGTCGTCTACTCTTGGGCTCAGCGCGGTTTTTGCCAAAGGGTCCTAAATAGCGGTATTTGTCAGCATTTTGACGTGAAAACGAGCACGGTGACCCCCACTTTTCATTACTTTTTTATCACCTTGATTTGTTACATCAGTGTACCAAGTAGCTGATACTCAGCCAATAGTCTATCCAACGCTCGACCGACCATCGACCGCTATATCGACCGAGTGTCGACCGACTATCGATCGCTATATCGACCGATAGACCGGCCCACACTACCTATAGTAAACAAGATCCTTCTATAAGCTATGTTGGGTTCTTTTATTAAGGAATCACCTTAAACCACCTTCTGGTGATGGCATGATTTATCTGTTTTAATGAAAATCGCTGATTGGTTTTCGTGCACTACGTTTTTATTTATCCAAGACTTTTGACCCAGGGTACTTTGTGAGCTTTGTGGGGAATAATTTTTTAATGGTCAACCAAAACAACAACAACAACAAATTTGTACCCAAAGCAGAATATTACTTATCTTATCTAACCTGAGAAAACAGCCGACATTTTGCGACGCCACCTCGTGAAATGACCTCTGAGTTGTTGTTGTTGTTGACAACCGAGCGCAAAAATTCCATACTGATGACGCGTCACTACCCAGATCTGGGTAGTTCTTTTGATTTGTTGACGCAATATTTTAGCCAATCAGAGGCCCTACCCAGATCTGGGTAGTGATGCGTCATCAGTATGGAATTTCTGTGCTGGTTTGTCAATAACAGTAACATGACTCAGACGTCATTTCGCGGGGACACCGGCCAGTGGTGGCGTCGAGACATTTCGGTTCTTTTCTCAGCTAAAACTTATCTCAGACTGCATTTTCTTGTGGGAGATCACGATGATATTTGTTTCACATTTTTCGATCATACCATGAACTTCGTTTCGAAGACCAATGATTTTCCCAATTTGTTTTTCTCACTTTCTGAGGAGCTGATCTGCAGTGTTCATTTCCTGCTTCACACTCTTTGTTAGACATGGGCAGTGAGCTGTTTAGGCGTGTGATTGTCAATGCATCGTGCGAGCTTAGCTTCAATATCCAAACGATTGCGACCTACTGGGTGCTTCACTTCCGCAATTACATGTTTTATATGGTAAAACTTCGCTTCCGAATTAAAGGGTACCTCAAAATCCAACGCAAGGAAATGTCCATAAAGGATACAGTTAAATCTCTCTGTACCACTAATTGAGGGCCTGTTTACATGGAGATGGGGGACCCCAGGTAAGTGAGGTAACCCGCTTAGGTGGGGTAACCCACTTGTCCATATAATCTCTCATTTTAATATGATCACGTTTATGACTCAGTCAATTCCAAGCGTGCTCATCCCCCGGGGCATTTGTCATTTTTCTTTGGAAAAGCTGCAAATGCCTCACGGTGCCAACACCAAAGTTACATTTTCCAGTAATGTAAGCTGCAAATGCCATATTTATCGGAAATCTGTAATAATCTGATCAGATTCGCGCATGAAGCAAGCACCCTACGCAAATTGCCCCTAGCCGCTAGTTATAATCATTGCAAAAAAGAACACATTGATTAATCTTAATGGTAGAACTATAAATTAGAATTTTAGTAATACCTTTTTCATTTTCGAAGATGTTTGATATAGTGAATAATTCACAAACAACCGACGCGCTTTACATCAATATTTTCTCATCACGATGGAACCGTATTGATCGTCAAGAGACGTAGTCCCATTATGGCTCTTGTGATCGTACAATACACGAAGTTTGTATTAGCTATCATATATCTCGCAGAGTTTAGTTTTTCTAGGCCTTTTTGTGTCGAAAATTCACGCGCAAAGAAAGTAATTTTTCCTTTAAACTCTTCATACGATACATTGACTGTTTTTCCTCCATGTGCGAGCTGATCACGATGGCACGAAGCAATTTCTTAGAAGGTTGCAAAAAAAATACCGTGGGTTAGGAAATATGGAACGAAAACCACACATATCGTTTTAAAGCACAGGTATTAGAAATATTCTTTATGAAGCTATCTAAATAGAGATAGGTATATTTTCTAGTGATGAAAAAGGAACGGCTTTAACCGCTTCGAGAAGAATTGACAAATGCCCCACCCCCGGGCAGAGATTTTCTGACAAATGCCAGGAGAGGATGGACACGCTTGGAATTGACTGAGCCATTACATGATAGGTGGAGTGACCCGCCACATGTTACCTCACCCACCTGGGGTCTCCCACCTCCATGTAAACAGGCCCTAAGACGGACACCTCTGGGACCTGCACTATGTGTCCATCTTAGAGAGATGTCTGTCTTATAGAGAGTCAAGTAAAGACAGTAAAGAAAGGGGGGGACCAGCTCTAGGTGTCTGTTTTACAGAGGTGTCCATCTTATAGAGAGTCAAATAAAGAGAGTAAAGAAAGGCAGGGACCAACTCTAGGTGTCCGTTTTACAGAGGTGTCTGTTAAGAGAGAATCGACTGAAAATGTTATTGAAATTCTATTTGTGTAAACGAACACAGGCTAGGGTCGCTAACCCAGAGCACAGGCAGCCCAAGTCCGGTGCATAAATTAGCGCGCTTTGATACTGTTTTACATATTATGAATAATAGGCCATTTTGCAGTTATGGATGGAAGTGAGGCTGACGGTGACCATGTTTTGATACAAACAAAGGGGGGAATTTCATATATCCCATGGAGAACTTTATCAACGCGCGTTAAAACAGGACGTACTGAAGCAAAGACCTTGCTTGCTAGCTTCTAAGAACATTTGCGTGGACTGCCTTGCTATCGTAAGGCTAGTTAACTCATAGTCGGCGGCCAAAACACTCTCTTTGACTTAACAAGTAATATATTTGGAATAGTAAAACTAAAATCGTAAATAGATCGACACAGCAAAGGTACAGAAAGTTTTATCGGCAAAACAGGTCGCTTTCCACCGTTGTTCAACTGTCACGTCCCTGTTGAACTGATAGCATCACGTGCGTAATATAGTATGAAGCGATGCATCATGGGATATATGAAATTCCCCCCTTTGATACAAACCTTCCTGCTGTATTATGTAAATCAAGTTATTCTTATATGCTTACTAGTATTTTTCAAGGACAATTTCCATAACAAAGCAAAGGAGGTTTGTATCAAAACAAGGTCACCGTCAGCCTCACATTCACTTGAAGACTAGGATACTAATTCCACAACTGTAAAATGGTCTATTTGTAGACTTTGTTTGAGAAATTTAATATAGTTGTCAAAACGTAGAAATATAGTCATAAATATAGAATTAAAATTCACTTACGTAAACTTGGGTTTGTTGCTGCCTTTTCTGTGTAACCTATGCTCAATTCATGGCCATTTTATACGGTTTTGCTTCTCGTTGTTCGGTGTTGCTTTCCGACACAATGCGAAGCAAGGAAAATTACTATGTGCAGTCTCAACTCAAAAACTTCTCCCGCATCAAAGAACAGCGTACCGATACAACATAAAGCGCCAAATCCTAAAAGGCCAGATAGGTCTCTCATCTCTTCCTCTGGTCATGGCGTGCGCTCAGGAAACTTGATCACTAAGCGCTGCCCGGTGAACGCCTTCATTGCCATGTCCACATTTTCCACATAATGCACCTTATTTGCCCCCCAAAATTTTGCATAAGCTTTGTTTTCAATTTCTCTTGGGACGGCTGTAATACCCAAGAGAAATGAAAAACAAAGGTTAGGCAAAATTTTTTTTTAGGGCGGTGGGGGGGGGCAAATCAGGTGCATTACGGGAGGAGATGTGGAAGTGGCGTATGGACTTTTGGGATCCGGATCATCAATATTGCATGAAAAGCATGGATCTTCCCATCCTCGGATAGTCCACAAATTGCACTTGAGTGGTGTTTGGAATTATCCACTGAGATGAGTACATGAGTTGTTGCCTTGAGCTGTCTTGGTTGACAAAATGCAGCGATTTGTATCAAATTATCCATTCAAGCTTGATGATCTAGTCTTATTGTGTCTGTTTACCGCAGCGGAATGCTAGCCCTTGTACAGCCACCCCTCCCCTCAGAAAAAAAAAATCGATTTTTGTTCTACACACAGGCTACGGAATGGGGAGAGTCTATTTTCCGTTCCATAGAAAAATTTTGATGCTTATTATGTTATGCTGAGAAGAGCTTAGTAATTTCCTCGAGAATCCTCGAGCGCTGTTTCTTGCGCTTTTACTGTCGTTGTCGATTCTTAACTGTACAGAATTCCTTTTGAACAGTAGCATTTTAAAGACAAGCAGACGTTAATTTGAGCTGAATACTTTACCATTACAATTTTTTTGCAGAACTCTGGTTCACCAAATTAAACTTTTCAGGAACAAAACATCAAGCAATAATATGAAGAAAAAACATATGTATGGGATGTTTTTGAATCTTTTAAGTCTTTCAAAACACTTGATTTATGGTAACAAGTCTTTCATCTAAATAGTTCTCGTGCAAAGAATGTCCAACAAAACTGATCTGAAAGTAAATCAAGTTCTCTTTTTGTTCTGTGAAAATCTCGTTATATTAGAGTGATATTTTTGTTTTTAACGTTGCAACATATTTAGTAGTATTTTGAAGGCG